CTCTCTAGGGGTCGATAAAAATATTGAGGCTAAACTAGGCATGGTGGTGTAGGCCTTTAATCCCAGCACTCAGGAGTCAAAGGCAGGTAACTCTGTGAGTTTAAAGCCATCCTGTCTACATAGCAATTCCCAGGCCAACCAGAGTTACATGGTGAAACCCTTAAAAAAATTCAAGACTGGGTGAGGTGTTACACACCAGTAATCCCAGCATTCCTGGGACTGAGGCAAGAGAATCACAAGTTCAAGGTCAGCCTGGAATACATTGCAAGATCCTATCCCAAGATAATCAGTAAATTAATTAAGTGTCTAGAACTCGTGAGAGGTGATGGTTGCACAACATTTGAAATGTAGCAAATATCACTGGATTATACACTGTAACCTGGCTAAAATGATAAATGTGTGTTTCACCATAATTTAAAGAAGAAAAGTTTCAACGAATAAAGGCATTTGCCACCAAGGACCACTTGAGTTTGGTACCCTGAACCTACATGAAGGAGAAAACTACACATGCACACACACACATACATACACACACATACACAAACACACAAACACAAATAAATAAGTAGAAAGCAACAACATCAAATATCCAGCACATAAAAATGCTCCGAGGGACTAATTACTTTCACTACCCTGAAGCAGCCTAGCTGGAAACTTGGAGGTAATAATGTATTAACTTATTCATTCAGAAAACATGAATGAAACATTTATTATATGCCAAGCTATGCCTGGTATTAAGTATGTGGGGGGTAAAATGCCCAGCCCCTGGTCTGTGGGAGCTGACAAATTAGTGGAATAGACACAAAAAATATGTGATTTTTTTTTTTTAAGTTTCCACTACATAGCTCAGTCTAGCTTTGAACTCATCATCCTCCTGTCTCAGACTCTACAGTGCTGGGATTACAGGTGTGCACCATCATGCCCAGCAAAAAAGATGATTTCAATACAGTGTGGTAAGTGCTAAGGTGTAGAAGGCTCAGGGTATTTGATCCTAGAAGACTGGCCTAGAGGAAGAGAAACCGCCTGGGCCGATTCCTAAACTCTGAGTAGGAGTTCTTCCGGTGAGACGGCAAGAATAGAGGGAGCCTCCAGATAGAACAGAGAAATACACAAAACCAAAGACGAAGAGGAGGTGACCGGCAGATGAGATCAGACATCATGTGGCTAAGCCAAAGGGAGGACGCCTGGTTGAAGAACAGAGCGTTCCACAGGGGTCAAGAGAAGGAGAAAAATCAAGAAGAGAGAAGAGGTCACTAGTGTCATATCTTCATCAAGGTCAAGTAAGACGGTGCTGGACGTGACTGTGGACTGGACAGTAAGAGCCACTTTTAGACTGCACGTCTTATGGTTATGGTGGGTTGTGGCCTGGCCAAGCGTCCTTTACCGTGAAGTTTGGATAGGAAGGAAGAGAGGTACAGCTCCGGAGAGACCGAGGAGAAAGAACAAGATGGAAGAGGACTGAGAACTAATGGAGATGCTATGGCTGCAGAGCCCTCACAAGGTGACCCAGGTCAGTAAGGCACCATCTTCCCAGACAGGAAGCAGGAAGCAGGCATGATGGCTCCGGGGGAGGTGGGGGGGGTGTTTAGTTTCTTAGTGGACCAGGGGAGCAGGTAACACCCACCTGCTGGCCTCTGTTTTCTCAGTGAAATTCAAGGGATGGGAAATGCTCAGAAGAATCACTGTGGGAGAGAGTGAACTTGGTGCCAAGGCTGGCTGAGAAGGCTTCCAGGCGTCTCAGCAGCCTGCTGCGGCTGCAGATGATGACTTTGTAGTAGCGCCAATCTGCGTGGGCTGTGATTTTCTCCAGCAGAGCTCAGGAGCCCCAGGGCCCAGATGTCGAAGTGGAGGGCTGGGGAGTGGAGGGCTGGGATATCTCCACACAGCCTCAGGACTGGGGATAGGAAAAGGAGCACCTGTGGGGCTCATGAAGCCTAGGCTAAGCGGAGAAGGAAGTGAAGAAGTGTGTGGGGAGGAGGGAGGGGGTTGACAGGCGCATGGCAGGAGAAAGAGACTGGGATTTGAGGAGGTGGAAAAGCGAGCACATTGGGAGTTGGGAGTGGGCGGGCTGGGAGGAGGAGGCTCTGATCACAGTGGGCCAGGGAACAATTGCTATATGTAATCAAGTGCTAACTAGGATGGTTTGAAACCTAAGTGGGCATGAGTGCTGGGGAGGAGGGGCCTTTGGGGAAAAGGATAGAAATGAGGGCTGAGCAAAGATTGCATACAACTCCAGTGCAATTTAGAGAACTAACTCGACAGCCTGCCAGTACCCCCATAAGAAATTCAAGGTGAACAGGAAACAAATGGTATCTTGATGACTCAAAAACCCTGGGCAGATGGAAACTTGCAGAGCTGAAGGTGGGACATGAACTATGGGCCACGTGCAAGATTCTGGGGTCCCGCCTGTAGAGGGCTGGGCATTTTGGAAGAACAGCATTTGAATCCTTCCTGCTTCACTTGGCTCGTCACTCCTGGTTCAAATCTCTTGATACCATGACCACACCTCCTTCGGCTAGTCTCAAAATTTCAAAGCACCTAATAAACATTCTATATTCTCACAGGTCAAGGCCCTGAATTAAGGTAGGGCTTTGGAGGGAGGTAGAGAAATCATCAAGGTGGTCCTTGGGCCAGATGCTGTCTGTAGTATTTGTTCTGTTCTACACAAGCCGGCCCCAGCCAGAGAGGTTCAGATGAGCGACTAGAATGGGGGGGGGGGTAGCCAGGTCAGCATGATTTTCAACCCAACTCAGAAACCAACTGATTTTTTTTTTCCCTGCCTGCTTCCTGGTAAGCTAAAAACCTGCACCTGCTTTTCTTTTACTTTTTAAACTCTGGGCTGGAATTGTGATTAAGCATTTGTGGACTTCGCTTGTCTAATGTTCATTTGCACCCTTTCTTTAATCCCAGCACCCAGTTTGGCTTGGGTGAAGCACCCCTCTATCTGGTGATTCCATGATCAGTGATATAGGCCCATAGTAGGTCTCACCTTCTGTCACTGAGACTGCTCCAGAGGTGATGGTCTGCAGCTGTTTGTTCTGGGAGTGGACTTTAGTGGAAGTACGGCTTATGTGGTACCAAGACCCCAAGTGCATCCTTTCAGAACCTGCTTCTAAGCTCTTCCTTCTTGTCTGTGAGGTATTGTACATCCTTCCAGAAAAATGCCATTTGTAACCTTGTGTGATTTGGGCTTGATTCTTAATGCCCCAAACTTGGAGTTCCTATATTGGCTCTCAGAGAAAAAAACACACTAACAGCTCATACCACACTGGGACCTGGAAGAAGTATACCCTTGTCTGTCAGCAAATGTTACCAGCACCACCTTTAAAGCAAGCCAAGAACTGACACAGCACTCCCTATCACCCTCCATACACACACACACACACACACACACACACACACACACACACACACACACACACACACGCACTGTCTTGATCCCAGTCACCATCACACTTGGTCTAGACTATTGCAGCAGCCTGCTCTCTGCAGTTCCTGCTTCTACCTGTGTGTTGAATCCATCCCACCCAGCAGCAAGGGAAACCTGCTACCATGTGGGCTGGACCATGTCCCTCCTCATCTCACACCCTCCCAGTGCCTCCCCTACCTGACTCAGAGTAAATGCCAAGGCCCTGATTATGACCTTCAAAGCTCACAGGAGGGTCTGGTTCTATCACTGACCTGATGCTCTCCACTTGACCCTCCAGCTCCAGCCACATACATATGTGTGTGTTTACATTGTCCATACTGTTCCCCCACTAGGAAGTAAGTGCTACGAGGTAGGAATTCTGTCTGTTTTATTCACTGCTATATCCCAGCAGAGTAGATGACACAAAATAGGTGCTCAGTTAGGAACTGGTGAAGAAATGAATGAATAAGCAATCAAATATGATTAGGGTAGTACCCCTCTCATCACTGTCTCCCCTGACATGCAGGCCCAATGTTGGGTAGATGCTTTCAGCACTCGAGGAGTCTGCCCTGTTTCTTTGCTGCAGTGGTTGTATCCTTGAGAACCAGATTCACTTTTTTTTTTTTTTTTGAACTTAAAAAAAATATTTTTTTAATTTTATGTGTATGTGTGTATTGCTTGCATGTAGGTAAGTGCACCCTTGTCGTGCAATGCCCACGGAGGTCAGAAGAGGCTGTCAGATCCCCTGGGACTGGAGTTACAGACAGTTGTTAGCTGCCATATGGGTGCTGAGATTTGAACCTGGGTCTTCTGCAAGAACAACCAGTGTTCTTAACCGCTGAACCATCTCTCCAGCCCCACTTGTTTTGTTTTTTAAAAAATATTTTATTATTTTTATTTTATGTGTATTGTGTACCTGTGTGGTGGAATGCCCTCAGAGGTCAGAAGAGAGCACTGGAGTCCCCTGAAACTGGAGTTACAGATGGTTGTTAGCCACTCTGTGGTTGCTGGGAACCAAACCTGGGTCCTCTGTAAGAGCAGCCAGTGCTCTTAACCACTAAGCCATCTCTCCAGCCTCTTTTTTTGTTTGTCTGTTTTTGTTTTTTGATCCAGGGTTTCCCTGTAGCCCCAGCTGGCCCGGAACTTACTATGTAGACCAGGCTAACCTTGATCTCACAGAGATTCTTCTGCCTCTGCCTCCTGAGTGCTGGCATATAAAAGCATGCACCACCATGCCAGGCATCAGATTCACTGTTTAAAATACTTGTTTCTAAAAGTGAAGCGCAAAGGCTGTCAAGATATATGCAAAAATAGGGCTGGAAATATAGCTTTGTGGTAGAGCACTTGCCCACCATGTGTGGGGCCTTGAGTTCAATCCTCAGTACTGAAACACACACACACACACACACACACACACACACACACACACACACACGTGTATATATACACAAAAAGTTATAACTTTAAAAATCACATACACAATTTTTAAACATACAAATGCATCTTCCCAAAATGATGCAAGCCCAAAGGCTGTAACTTTTGTGAAAATTCAGGTTCTTGCAGAAAGTGGCACTGCTAGGGAAGAGTTTTATTTTGCTTGTTTGGTTTTGAAGTAAGATCTTTGGAGACACATTACATAAATTCCCCAGAACCCTTTCTTGGAAAGACTTCACGTTGCCTCAGTATTTCTTGCTGTAGAGATCACCACAGACTTTCTATTAATTGCCCTTGAAGGTGTCGGCTTCCTGGAAAAAGCACAGTAGAAGTTATGAAAACAGAAAACCAGGATATTTTTATAAGAAGCTCAGCTTATTTGAGGGTCTGAGGCAAGTGTCTGAAGGACAGGCTGTCCCAGCTATAAACTCATTTGAAGGTGTCAAGATACCTAGACTGTATAGTACCATAAGGCTTTAGGGTCCCCCATCCACTGTCCCTCAAGGTAGAAGGATGGGAGTTGAAGTGGCCAGAGAACTCTAGGAGACAGGTTTTGCTCACCAGCAACCCACACACAGAGGTTCCCTTGGGACCAAAGACTTCCTTTTTCCTGACCTCAGGTGCTCCTCAAATTTATTGCTGCAGAAATAGAATTTCCCTGGTTTCTCATGATCTCACCATGACCACTCAACCAGACCTAAGAAAGCAAATACACAGAAAGTCTCCAGTTGACCCATAAAACCTCACTAGGCACCTCCCCACTTCTGTTGCAGAGCCATGTGACAGGCAGGGCTAGCCAAGTTCATCTTCAGTGTTCTCTGCCTTTCACCCTTCCTTGCTTCCTTCCACATCAACAGCCGCTCTCAGGTTTGGTTGGGTTATCACTCATTGGCACTTTGAGACTCATGCCAAAGTCTATATAGTCCAGAGATTATTGGTTTTGACAGGAAAGGTAGGGCGCAAGAGAAGAAAGAGACCCTTTTGTATGACTATGAGATATTATGATAACGCCAACTACCATTTACTGAGTACTCACTGTATATTTTACCTTGAACCAGGCAAATTTGCAAATATTACACCATTCAACAAGTGAGTTCAGATTAAAATGATTCAATGCATATAGAGTATTTAGCACTGTATCTAGCACATAACAAATATTAAGTTTAAACTAGGTATGATTGTCCAAACCTGTAATCTCAGCACTCAAGAGGCTAAGGCAGGAATTGAGATCTGGAGACCAGCCCGAACTACATAGCAAGTCCCAAGGCAGTCTGAGGTAGATAGTGAAAACCCCAAATATCAAACAACCTCAATTCAAAATGCTATGATTTAGCTGGGCATAGTGGCACATGCCTTTAATCCCAGCACTCAAGAGGCAGAGGCAGGCAGATCTCCGTGAGTTCAAGGCCAACCTGGTCTACATCATGAGTTCCAGGCCAGCTGGGGCTACAGGGAGACCCTGTCTCAAAAGAAAGACCAAAAATAAAAAAATTTAAAAATAATAAAATAAAAGGTAGCTACTACTTCTAAAAGATAATAATCTTTATAATAGCCCATAAGACAGGTATCCCATTTTATAGAAAAAGAAGGAAAGAAACAGTTAAGTGATTCTTCAAACTCTCTCACATAATAAGATTAGGGCTAGGATTTATATCTAGATATATCTAACTTCAAAGAATTGCTCTTCCCAATAACACCATTTGATTTTCAGACCACAAGACCTTGGCTTACCCTGCCTCCAGACTGAGACTTAGCTTGTCTTAAGATTATTTATTTTGTCTTTTTTTTTTTTTCGGACCTGAGGACTGAACCCAGGGCCTTGTGCTTGCTAGGCAAGCACTCTACCACTGAGCTAAATCCCCAGCCCCAAGATTATTTACTTATTGGGCTGGAGAGATGGCTCAGCGGTTAAGAGCACTGTCTGCTCTTGCAGAGGACCTGGGTTCAATTCCCAACACCCACATGGCAGCTAACGACCGTCCATAAAGGATCTGACACCCTCTTCTGACCTCTGTGGGCATCGTACAACATGGGTGCCTTACACACATGCGGGCAATACACTAATACACTTAAAATAAACATAATAAATAAGATGTTTTTTAAAAAAAGAAAAAAAGATTATTTAGTGTGTATGTGTATGCATATGTGTGTTTGTGTTTGTGTGTGTGTGTGTGTGAGTGTGTGCGTGCATGTGTGGAGACCAGATGTCAAAGTCAATTTGGCTAGGTTGGTTGGCCAGCAAGCCTCAAGAATCCTGCTGTTTCCACCTCCCCAGCACTGGGATTACAATGCACACCACTGTGCCTGGCTTTTTGAGTGTTAGGAATTGATCTCATGTCCTCATGATTACTTTACCTACTGAGCTGTCTTCTCAGCCTAAATGTTTTATTTTTATAGATGAGGGTAGATGGTGCATACGTGTAATCCCTGAAGTTGTGAGGCTGAAACAGGAGGATCATGAATTCCAGGCTAGTCAGGGCTACATAGTAAGACCTTGTCAAAAAAAAAAAAAGATGCTTTATTTCATTCTTATTTATTTTGTTTGTTTATTTGTTTGTTTGCGATAGGGCCTCACTCACTATGTAGCCCCAACTAGCCTGGAACTCACTATGTAGACCAGGCTAGCCTCAAACTCACAGAGATCAGCCTGCCTCTGCTGGGACTAAAGGTATGTGCCACCATGCCAGCCTAAGATGCTTTCTTTTTAATAAGAATTCTTTTAACAGGCTGAGCATGGTGGTTCAGGCCTTTAATCCCAGCACTCGGGAGGCAGGGGCAGGTGGATTTCTGTGAATTCAAGGTCAGCCTGGTCTACATAGAGAGTACCAGACCAACTGGGGCTATAGGGAGAGGGAAGAGGAAAAAGAGGAGGAGGAAGAGGAGGAGAAGGAGGAGGGGGGAGGAGGGGAGGAGGAGGGGGAGATGAAGAATTCTTTTAACATGAGCAGCCTTTCCATTAGACTTCTCTCCCTCATTACCTCTCAGAGCACTGGAGGTTATTTCTCCCTGCTGGTGCTACAGCATTTTATTGTCAGGAAAGTGACAGCCTATGAAAAGAAGAAAGTCCCTGGAGTCTGGAAATGTCAGGGGCAAGCTCCAGCATAAGCCTCTTTGATTTACTCCTATTCCTGAGAATGAGTCTGAGCTCATGCTTTCTTCTGGAACACAACCCATGGCAGAGTGTCTGGTTAGTTATGATGATGCTCATCCATGCCCCATTCCTTCCTTGCATTTTTTCATCCATTACATCCAAGTATTCTTTGTCTATTTGACAGAGCTTTCAAGAGAAATAGACAGCATACATTTCCAGGAAAGTGGCTGCATGGCTTCCCATATAGGTGGTAAGAGCTTTGGTTAGAGCTTGATGATAATTAGGTCTTCCTTGAATGAACCAGGCAGAACCATCCCAAAGCACAATTCTGTGACCTCATGCCTGTCTACCTCCTAAACTAGGTCTGTTGGCTCAAAAAGGCAAGCTCCTACTTTTGGCTGGTGGCTAGAAAAACCCAGACCCCAGTGCCCAAGCAAGACAGTAGGTTTTCTCAGAATCTTTTGAGAATGGAGGAATATTTGTGCTAGGATTTCTCAAGTGCTCCCTGGAACATGTACTGACTCTAAGACTTCTTCCTTCCTCATGCAAAATACAATGAAGCCTCTCCTTTGATGGCAATCTGTTCTATACCTTCTTTCAGCTGAATTCAAAATAAATCTTCTAGAAGAGCCTCTCTTCCTGAAGGCTGCTTTAAGGTTGACACACAATCAACTTGGGTGTAAGCTACAGTTCTTGCTAAGATTGGTATTCTCTTCATCCACTTTGGTGAATACAGAGGGATGTTAACCCATGTGAGCAATACTCAGGGGCAACAGCCCACTTCCAGACTGGGAGAGAAACTAAATGATGTAAGGAAGTCACTCCAAGGCTTCTCCCAGGCTGTCTTCATTATTCATAACGGTTGATTAAGCAGAGAGCACCCTGTGTGGTCCTTTTGTCTTTCTAACTCACACAGGATACATTGACTTTGTAGTGCTATCCCTGAATAGGTATACTTTAAGTTTTTCTCTCCATGTTGGAGAATACTGGTCTACAAGGCTGTGCATGGTCTTTGTTCAGCTTTATCATTTGTCAATATGCTTTCTGCCAAATCTCATTTCTAGATGTAATGAGGTTCACAACTGGGCTGCTCACAGTGAGCAGTGAGGTCTGGAAGCCATGCCTCTGCTGTAAGGGCTGGGTCTCTGGTCTCTAAGGTCAGGGTTTCCTGAGTAACTGGCTGGGAAAGGCTGCTGTGCCAGAGCTCCCCAGGCTGAGCACAACCCATATGCAGCTCTCTCCCTCCAGGGTTCTCTGATGGCAACAGACTGTAGACTGCAGCAGGGCTCAGGTGCTGGGCACAGAGCCTAGACAAGGAAGGCTGGAGCAAGGGTGAATGCAGTCTAAGGGATAGACAGGAGATTCGGTAAAATCTGGAGCATAAGCCAGGCATGCTGATGCATGCTTGTTATCCCAGCATTCAGGAAGTAGAAGCAGGAGGATGCAGAGTTTGAAGCCAACCTGGACCACATTCTGAGTACCAGGCCAGCATTGGCTACCTTGGAAGACCCTGTCTCAAAACAAAAAATAAATAAATAAAATAAAACAAAACAAAAACAGAACAAAGCAAAACAAAATTTAAAACCTGGAATACACTACCAGAAACATATCTGCTGGCGAGGAGGGACAGCCAAGAACTAAGTCTGTAGAGTGATGGGGAAGGAATCTGTTCAGGAAGACAATATGTGGAAATCAGAAGGCCGAGGCAGAAAGCAAACTCAGAAAATAAGCAACAGGCAGTCAATGCCTATTGATCAAGGTGTCAATGCAAGCCAAAAAAAGGGGGGAGTGTGTCAACAAACAGAATGAGCACTTAACCATATGTGAAAATGAACCACAACCTACATGGAAGAACTAATTTGAAATTGATCTGTAAGAGCTAAAGCTCTAAAACTATGAAGACTTGAAGAGCATAAGAGAAAATCTTAGCCTTCTTGGAGTTAGCAAAAAATCTTTCAAAGAATGCAAGCCGTTCAGATAGAAATTTTCATTTTATATTTATTTTTCCACAACAAAAAGAAACAGAACACTTGTACAACCATGTTTGTTGCTGCTCTTTTCACAATAGCTAAGAGATGGAAGCAACCTAAGTGCCCCTCAACTGACAAGTGGTTAACAAAAATGTGGTATATTTACACAATGGAGTTCTATCCAGCAGCAAAGAAAGATGAAATAATGAAATTTGCAGGTAAATGGATGGATCTAGAAACTGTTATACTA